AAGAATAGAATAAAGAATGGCCGAAGGAAAAAAACACAAGAAGAAATTAAATAGAGAATGATGAAGGAAAGAGAGAAAGAATAAAGCAGAAGAAAAAGAAGAAATGAAAAACCCGAAGAAACATAAGAAACATAGTGTTCGGAATATTGTAAATAAAGAAGAATATGATAATGGAAACATTTTGATATCACAATCAAAATAATAAGTAATTGCTGATAGATTACACACAATATTGAACATTTAGGTTATAAAACCACAAACACTTACAGAGATTATTGTGTGATATCATGCGTTCATGACAAATATGTACTCGTACATGTACACGCATATACTGTATATACGTACATCCAAAATTCTGTACAACAGCTTGGAAGTACAAACATATATGCACACACACACACACACACACAGACACACACACACACCACACATACACACAACACACACACACACACAACACACACACGACAACAATCACACACACATACACAGGCACATACTCACAAACACACACACACATACACAAGCACACACATAGACACACACACACTTGTGTGACCAAGAGACTTTAAAGTTCTCTTAAGTCAAACAGATTACATGACTTAGGTCGGTCGTCAGTTCCACCTCCTTCGATTCAAGTACAATGACTCAAGCACAGAAATGCAGTCCAAGCTCCAATGATTTTTTTTTTTTTTTTTTGGGGGGAGGGGGTGTTTAATTTGATTATTCACTTGTTTGTTCTTGTGTTTTTTTTTTGTATATTTTTGGGCTTTCTTGTTGCGTTTTTCGTTATTCTTTTTTATTCACAAATTTATTTACACATCGATTCGTTTTCTTAGTGTTAATAAAGCTTTTTCGTATATGGAGGTATTTTTAGCATTTCAATAATGTTGGTATTTTTGTAATTATAATAATAATATTACTGTTAATGCTGTTGGTATCGTTATCATCATTACTCTTATTGGCAATACTATTACCATTATTAATTACAATTACTATCACCTTTAGTATAGTCGTTGTAATAATTATTATCATCATTGTTATCATTGCTAATATCAAATTCATCGTTATCATTAACATTATCACTTGCAGTGTTTTTACTATTATTGTCATTATCATTATTATCATCATCGTCGTTATTATTACTATTATTATTGTTCTTATCATTAATATCATCATCATATTATTATTATCCTTATTGGTATTATCGTAATGATTGTCATTGTTATTATAATCATTATCATCATTATTACTATTATTATTATCATTATCATCATTATTGCTACTATTATCATAATTATTATCATCCTCATTATCATTATTTTTTCTTTTTATCATCATTATCCTTATTATCATTACTATTATCTTCATCACTATTATTATCATCATTATGATTATCATTGTTATTATCATCATTATCATTATCATCATCATCATTATTATCATTATTACTTGGAGTAGTAGTAGTAGTAGCATCATTATTATCATTCATTATTATCATAACTGATATAAATAAAATCATCATTATCATTATTATTATTACTATTATTGTTATCATTATTATCATTATTATTATTATTATTATTATTATTATTATTATTATTATTATTATTATTATTATTATTATTATTATTATTATTATTATTATTATTATTATTATTATTATTATTATTATTATTATTATTATTACCATTATTATCAGTACTACTATTATCATTATCATTATTGTTATTATTATGATTATCATTATGAATATCATTATGATCATTATGATTATCATTATCATCTTTATCGTTATTATTGTTATCATCATTATTGTTGTTGTTGTTTCCATCATATTATCACTATTATCCTCATCTTAATTATCATTATCATCATTATCATTATTATCATTATCATTATTATCATTACTATTATTATTATTATCATTATTATTATTACTATTATTATCATCATTATTACCATTATTACTATCATCATGATGATCATCATCATTAATATTGTTACCATTACCATTATCATCTTCACCCTTAGAATTATTACTACCATCATCATATTACGAACACTAGCAATATTTGAACATGAACAGTGCGCTTTGAACAGTCTGTCTGCAATTGACAATGAGTGTGTAAAAATAGCAATATTTCAAGTGACTCCATCACATAAATCACAGATGATATATACGTTTCGGTTTGCAATAGTGTAAGAAAACCATGAATGGAGTTTCGGTTCATTCAGTGGATACACAACACAACACACACACCTCTCCTCCTCCTTCTCCTCCTCTCTTTATCACTTCTTTCTTCTTTCTTCTCTTTCACGGTTTTTCGTCTCCTTCTATCTATTTTTCCCTATCTTTCTTCCTTTTTTTCGTCTTGTTTTCTCCCCTTCTTCTCCCTTTCTCGGTTCTTCGTCTCCCACTCTCTACCTTTCCTTCTCTTTCTTTCTTTTCTTTCGTCTTGTCTTTTCTCCTCCTCTCTCCTTTTCCTCTCTCACCTTCTTTTATTTCTCCCTCTGCTCCTTTCTTACATATTTTTTCCATTTGCTTCGTTCCCATTCATTCGTTTCCTCACTCTCCTATTCCTTTTTCATCCTCTTCTCCCTCCCCTTCTCTCTCCTTCATTTTCCCCCTTCCATTCTTCCTCCCTCCTTTTTGTCTCGTTTTTCTTGCATCGCCTTCCCTGTCCTCCTCTTCTACTTCTTTCCCCTTTCCTCCTACTTCTATCCTTTTCCTTTCGCCCTATCCGTGTATATGTAATGATTTTTTTTCAAAAATGAAATCCCAGTCTCTTTCTCCCTATCCCTCCCTCCTTACTCCCCATCTTCCTCCCTCCTTTCGCCCTACCTCTTACTCTCCCCGTACTCTCCCCTCCTTCACCTCCTCATCCCTCTCTCTCCCCCTCCTCCCTCTCCCAACCCCTATCTTTCCCCTCCCATCTCCTCCCTCACCACTTTCCCATACCTTTCCTATCCTTCTCCCGCTCCACCACCACTCCCTCCCTTCCCCCTGGTCACTCTTCCTCCTCCCTCCCCCCCCCCCCCTCCCCCCTCCTCCTCGTGTCACCGAGTGTCATTGCATAATTACTCATCTGCATTGAAGGTTGTTACTTCTGCCACCGTGTCACATGCAGTGCAACATTGGCCAAGAGTCTCCTTCTGCAACTCCCGACGCTGATTTCCCTTCCCTGTCGTGTCATCTCTCGTGTGTCTATCGACCTGTCTATCAGTATTTCTGTCTTTGTGTCTGGTTGTTTGCTTGGTTATTTTGCTTTCTTCTATCTGTCTGTTCTATTGATCTGTTCTTTCGTGTTTGTTTTGCGTTGAATTTCGATTAGATAAGATTGATTCATTTTGTCATCTCTCTATTCTCTATCTATATATATATATATATCTATATCTATATATATATATATATATATATGATATACTATATATATTATATATATATATATTCATATATACATATATATATATATATAATTATATTATATATATATATATATATATTATCCACATATCTCATATATATATATAGTTCATATACATAATATATATTGTAGCCGGAGAAGTACTGTGTGTGTGTGTCTGTGTGTGTTAATATATATATATATATATATAATATATATATATATATATATTATATATATATATATATATATATTTTACGTAATAATATATGTGTGTTTATGTATTCGTGTTCATTCGTCTATGTGTGCTCGTGTATGCATGTATGGTGCATATAATTACCACTTTATAGATATAAAATTCTTCGGCTGCATACTTAATAACACAAATAAATCGTTTCTCATTTCTACTCGTATTCTGTTTCGAATCTTTAATGTTCGAGTTTTCAAGTATTTTCACCTACATAGAATATGAGGGTGTCTATATGCGAATACAGTTTATACAGATATCCATTATCACTGTCACTGTCCACCATCATTCAACAGGACTGCAGGACTACGTGTAAAAGAACACAAAATGCGTCAGAATAAAGCATTGGTATTGTAAATTATTTTTCACTTCCCTCTCCTTCTCTCTCCTATCCCTTCCCTCACTTCTCTATCCTCCTTTCAGTTCTCCATTACCCTCCTTATCCTTTTCCCTGTCTTCCTTTTTCTTTCTCTGACTTTCTCCATACACCATTTTCTCCTCATTCTGTTTCTCTCTGTCAATGAATGAAGCATTGACACTGGAAATATGGAAAAAAACAAACGGGAAAGGCTAGATCAGTAGCAACTGGAGGAGGTGTCATGGCGTCTGATTCTATTTTTGGGGAAAAAAAAGCACATGGAGGTTTATTTTGATGACGTCATACAAGTTCCGGATGCTTTGTGAATATGGTCGATCATTTTGGTCTTTTCAATTTTCAAAAAGGATGGAAAAGAATGATTTTAATGGATATGTTTTCATTGAACAATCATCAAAACAGACGCCATGACACCTCCTCGAGTTGCTACTGATCCAGCCTTTCCCAAACACAAACATCTCTTCAGAAAGTAACGACAAAAAGTTAAAAGTAAATTCCGAGAAAAAAATATAGAAAAACAGGAGGAAAGAGATACATTCACAGAAGAAATAAGGTTGATGTTTTTTTTTAAAAAAATACCGTAGTAGGAAATAAAGCCGGTATGAAGAAAAACAGCAGATAATCTAATGTGGATTTATTGAATAACTCTAGATATATATGTATATTTCATCTTACAAAATATTTTACTAATCATCAGATTGAAATGAGTATATATTCAACATAGAGATGAAAAATATAATTCCTTGTGTATATAACTATATTTATGTATATATACATATACATATATATATATATATATATGATACATACACACACACACACACACACACACACACACACATATATATATATATATATATATATATATATATATATATATATATATATATATATATATATTATATATATATATATATATGTGTGTGTGTGTGTGTGTGTGTGTGTGTGTGTGTGTGTGTGTGTGTGTGTATGTGTGTGTGTGTGTGTGTGTGTGTGTGTGTGTGTATGTGTGTGTGTGTGTGTGTGTGTGTGTGTATGGAAATAAAATGATCAACCACGAAACCAGACAAAAATACCATTAACCCAATAGAGAATTATAGTTCCTTAAAAATTACTTCCATTACGGAAATTTTGCTTAATAGCCAGAATCCGCCAGCAGTTTCTCTGGTGACAGACAGACACGTGACCCAGTGTTGAAAGCGAGAAAAATAGCTCCATTTGTAAATTTCGTTCTTTTAAAATTCCTTAGCGTACTGATACAATTCCAAAAAATAAACCAAGTAAAATTTCGTTCACTTTTAGCAAAAAAAATAATAATAAATAATAATAATAATAAATAATTTTTAAAAAAAATAAAAATAAAAAAAAATAAAAAAAACGCCGACACTGGACCCCACGCGTTCCGTCCTGCGAGTCCTCCAAGCCATGGGGTCCGTCCCAGGAAACGCCACGAGGGAAGCAGATCAAGGCAAGTAGGCCATGACGTTGTCCATGAGCTGCGAGCCGTTGAAGGGGCACAGGGGGAAGGCGGCGTCGCAGTCCCCGCCCTTCCTGCCGAAGGCCCTGGCGCGCGCGTACTCCCCGGTGGCGCTGAAGGGGGGCAGGAGACCCTCGCCGGGCTTCACGTCGGGGCTGCGGGGAGGAGGAAGGGAGGAATTGAATAAGAGTAAAGAGGATAAGGGGAGGAGGAATGGAGGAATTGAAGATAATGAGAGTAAAGAGGATAAAAAAAATGTAGATGGAATTAAAAGGAAATGAGATTCGAAAGGTGTAGATGGACTTTAAAGAAGTAAATGAATTTCAATACGAGTAGGTGAGATTCAAAAGTATATGAGTAAGAGTAATAGATGTAGATGAAATTCGTAGATGGAATTTTAAGGAGTAGATGAATTTCTAGGAGTAGGTGAAAATCAAAAGTAAGTGAGTAAGAGCAAAAGAAGTAGATGAAATTCAAAAAAGAGTAAATAAAGAAATGAAAAAGGAGATTAGATGAGAAGATAAACAAGTAAGTGACTAAGATTAAGAATTAAAGAACAAATCGTTCCTCCAGAGGGTGGAAGAGTAAAGTTAGAACAAATAAAAGGAAATTCAGATGACTAAGATAGAAAATGATATGCAAAAAAAGAGCAAATCAAAAGTTTTCTTTTCAACCTTTGGAAGGGTATTAACACTGCGTATAAAAGCCAAGTTAAACTACGGTACAATAGGCGTAAAGATGAGGACAAAACCCGGGTACAATATAACAAGAATGAACGGAAGTTTAGCTAGACAAGCGTACGGAATTCACAGAATGCACAAGAATTGCACACATCACGTGACGCATAAGAAAAAGACGAAAGAAAGAGCAAAGAAGAGGAGGAGGAGGCAAGAGAGACTCGCGACTCACCCAACCAGGCTGAGGATGTCGAACTCCTCCTGCGAGAGCTCCTGCTCGTCCTCCTTCGCCAGCTCGCACAGGAGCCTCCTGCCGCAGCCCGTCTCGTCCTGCAGCCGCACGTCCTCCAGCAGGTTCTCAAGGGCGGCGGCCTGCTCCTGCTCCTGCTTCTCCGCTGCCGGTGCCTCCCTGCCGTACCTGTGGCTATTCTTGTGCCTATAGCTACGCCTGCTGCTGCGCCTGCTGCTGCGGCGTCCTATTCCCGCCAGCGCCAGAAGGCCTAAGCCCACGGCCCCGGCGACGGCGGCGGCGGCGGCGACGCCTGCACCGCCCACTAAGCCCACGGTCACGGTCGTCATGATGGGCTGAGGGGGGGGAGCGGCATGAAGAAGGTTATTTTCCTCCTCTTGAGACATTTTTTCGACTCTTTTTCCCTACAAGTGCACAAGATGATGCATTCCCTTTCAGTTTGTATGTCTCTATACCGTCCCTCTATCTACTTCCTGCTCCATCCATGTTATATGCAATTTTTTTATTAAATGAATCTTCTTTCCCTTGTCTCCCCTCTTTTACTTTTATATTCAGTAACAAATATATATTACACACACACACACACACACACACACACACACACACACACACACACACACACACACACACACACACACACACACACACACATATATATATATATATATATATATATATATATATATATATATATATATATATATATATGTATGTTGTGTGTGTGTGTGTTGTGTGTGTGTGTGTGTGAACGTATATATACATATATACTACATACACACACACACACACACACACACACACACATACATAGAAATCTACAAATGAAAAAAATATCCCCAAGAAAAAATGACAATATTCATATGATGCGACGATAGATAACGATAATAAAAAATAAATCTGAAATCATAGCAATACAACGATAAAATACAAAAGGAAAACCCTCTCCTTGAAAATAATTTAAGAAAATTAAATTCCTCTGATTTTCTCTTCTTTTACAAACACTTACAAGACTTTTTTTCACGTTAGAAGCCTAAGCAGGAGTTTGCTGTGGATGTCTTAGGTCGACACTGAGGATAGGTCTGGCTGTCCTTCCTTTTATATGGACGAGCGTGTCTGGGCGGTGGAGGAGGGGGGGGGGGAATCTAGGGAAAAGGGAGGGAGGTAGGGGAAAATTAGGCGGAGGTAAGGGAGGGAAACGGGAGATAGGGGGGGAGCGGAGGTTAGGGGAGGGGAGGTCAGGTGGGAGGGTGGTAAGGGTGGGAAGGGACGGAGGGAGATGCTAGGGGGGAAAGGGAGAAGGAGGTAGGGAAGGGAATAAGGGAGTGAAGGGAGGAATGAGGTGAAAGTAGAACATGGGAGGGAAAAAATCGAGGAGGGAAGGAAAGGGAGAGAAACAGAATGAGGAGAAAATGGTGTATGGAGAAAGTCAGAGAAAGAAAAAGGAAGACAGGGAAAAGGATAAGGAGGGTAATGGAGAACTGAAAGGAGGATAGAGAAGTGAGGGAAGGGATAGGAGAGAGAAGGAGAGGGAAGTGAAAAATAAATCGAGGAGAGGTTAACGAAGATAAAATGCAGACTAAGAGAGAATAAGAAGAGGGAAACAGAGAGAAGATGATAATGGAAAGAATGAGGGAAAACAAGGAAGAAAGTGAGGAAGAAGACGAAAAGAATAAGGAGAATAAGGAAAGAGAGAAAAGGACAAAAAAGATAAAGAGGGAGAATGATGAGAGAGATAATAAAACGAAGGGAGTAATATGAGAGAAAGAAAAGAAAAGAAGAGAAAGAATATAGTAAGGAGAATAAAGGCAAGGAGAGAAAAGAGGAAGAAGGAAGGAACAAGAGAAAGAACGAAGGATAAAAGAAGGACAGTAAGGGGAAGTAAAGAGAGAATAAGAATCACAGATCGAGAGGGAATAAGAGGAATGAGACATAGAAGTAACGATTGACAGAGAAATGGGGATAGGGAACAGAGAAAGACGTGGAACAGAATGAGGAGAATAAGGAGAGAGAGAAGAATAGAGGGCGAAGGACCAATAAGAAAAAAATAAAGGAGAGAGAGACAAGAGAATGATTGAATAAGAATGAGAGAGAAAGACGAAGGATAGAATAGGAAAGAATGAGAACAAGGAGAGATTGAAGAAACAGAAGGAAAGAATGAAGGAAGAAGAGGAGAGAGAGAAAAAGACGATGGGGGAGAATAAGGGAGAATGAGAGGGAGAGAGGGACGAACTTGAAGAACAGAGTGATAGAGGGAGAGGAGAGAGAGATAAGAAGAAAAAGAAGACGACGGAAAGAATGAGGGAGAATGAGGAGACGGGGAAAGAAAGAGAAAAGAGGAGAACGAAATGTGAGAGAATCACGAGAAAGAAAGAGAGAGAAGAAAGAAAAAAGAAAACGAAGAAGAAGGAGAAGAGGAGAGAGAGAAAAAAAGAAGGAGGAGAAGAGAGAAGAGAGAGAGAGAGAGAGAGAGAGAGAGAGAGAGAGAGAGACTGAGAGAGAGAGAGAGAGAGAGGGAGAGAGCAGAAAGAGAAAGAAGATAGAGAAAAGAGAGACAGAGACAGACAGACAGACAGAGAGAGAGGACAGAAAGAGAGGGGAGAGACAGAAAGAGAGAAAGAGAAAGAGAAAGAAAGACAGAGAGAGAAAAGAACGAAAAAGAGAAAAGAAAAGAAAAAAATGAAAAAAGAAAAAAAAACAAGAACGAAAAATACCGAAAAAAAAGAAAGACAGAAAAGGGTGTGGCGTCTCACATACAAACAGACCTCATAACTCCCTCATTTCCGGATAAAGTCACTCACCGGTTAGTGGACGCAAAGAAGCCGGATTATTTTTTATTTCGGCGAAGGACGAGGCAGGCAAAGCGTGAATGGAAATCGATAAGGCAAAAGGATACGTTTTATGATTCTTCTGTTGATGGTGTTGTTGTGTTGTTTGTTGTTTGTTGTGTTTTTTGTTGTTGTTGTTTTTGTTTGTGTTGTGTTTTTGTTTGTTGTTTTGTTGTTGTTGTTGTTGTTTTTGTTTTTGTTGTTGTTCTTTTTGTTCTTGTTTGATCTTGTGTTTGCTTTTGTTGTTTTTGTTTTGTTGTTGTTGCCGTTGTTGTTTTTGTTGTTATTTTTTTGTAATTGTTGTTCCTATTGTTGTTTTTGTTATTGCTGTTGTATTGTTTTTTTGTTATTATTGTTGTTGCTATTGTTGTTGTTATCATTGTTGTTATTTTATTGTTTTTTGTTGTTGTTATCGTTTGTTGTTGTTATTGTTGTTATTGTTATTGATGTTGTTGTTGTTATTTTTGTATTGTTATTATTGTTATTGTTATTTTTCAGAGTTATCTTAAGATGATTTGTCAGCAAATGGTAAGTAGATGATAAAGATATTTCTGTTTATGTCGAATTCCAGTAATTTATTCATCGATCTTTTTATATTTATGTGCAAATACACCACATATATGTTTGTGTGTGTGTGTGTGTGTGAGTGTGTGTGGGGGGGTGGACAGTGTGTGAGTGTGTGTGTGTGTGAGTGTGTGTGTGTGTGTGTGTGTGTGTGTGTGTGTGTGTGTGTGTGTGTGTGGTGTGTGTGTGTGTTGTGTGTGTGTGTGTGTGTGTGTGTGTTGGTGTGTGTTGTGTGTGTGTGCGTGTGTGTGTGTATGTGTGTGTGTGTGTGTATCGTTCCCATCTGCGTTACTGTATACATTTCTTTGATGTCAAATATCTATCGAGTCCATGATTATATATATATATATATATATATATTATATATATATATATATTATATAGCAGAGAGAGATAGTGTGTGGGTGTTGCATATCCATTTGCGTAGACCTACAAGTAGAAGAGATTAAATTTGTACCCAATATTTGCATCGATTTGTGCGCGACTGTCAAGGCTGCCTCGTTGCTCAAAAGTTCATTATCAGATAAAATCCTTACAAGTGTTCCATAGAGCTATATATTGAAAAAGTGTCAAATGTCGTAGATGTTGTATAAAGTAACTGCGCTTCTATTACATACGTATTGTGGACGTGTGTTATATACATGTTATGTAGGAGTGTTATATACTCCTTATGTTCAGTAGTGTGTTTAATCGCTGTGCACTATATATGTAATGCTATGACAGTACAGACACGGTTGGTTTCAGAATGTTCCTTGGGGCATGTTGTTCCCGCCGGAGAGGAAGCGGTCACGTGATCGCGGAGAGAGCCACGGATGTCGAATGGCGAAATGACGGATCCATTTGTCCGAGAGACTTTGGGGTCGCCGTTCCGAAGCCGCGCTGAAGTGAGTCCAGATATACTAATGAGTAATAATGGGATAGTGTCTTGATATTTTCAGCGTTGTAATTCTTAGCTGTAAGTAATGTTAAGTGTGATTTTGCAATAATACTGACATTCAAAATCGAAAATTGTTCCGTATCATAATTACGGTACTGCAGTTGTAAAGTCTATTTAATGTAACTACTCCTGTATCGACAGCCTCACCCGATGAGGCTGAGGAGGGCCAGCTCCCCCTCGCCGAGGTCCTCCGCGCTCGCCTCCGCCGTCGCCGCCAGCTCGCACAGGAGCCTGAGGCCGCACCACGCCGCGCCCTCCCGCCGGAGCCACTGCAGGAACAGATCTTCCTTGCCTGACGCGTCACCCTCCGCGTCTCCTTCGGGCACTGAGCGGTCGCATCTGAGGAAGAATCCTTCGAATCCCTTTCACAATTTAACATACTCGTGCATTCTCTTTCCACGCTTAGGCCTATGCAGCATAACATCCTCTGCTGAAGACACTCATTCGGTCCTTGATGGGGGGAAACATGAGATTCGGCAAAAAGTGCGCTTCCCTTAGACTCATAATCAACCCTATCAAGACTAAGTATATTTCCTGATCCCATAAACTGCCATACATTCCAAGGTTAGTGGACAAAGTTATTGCCAAAACTGACACCTATAAGTATCTTGGTGTTGGTGATTGCTCCCCACCTCATGTTCGCAACTTTCGCTTCATTCAAAAAATGTTCAAGACTCAAGGAATATATGTATATATATATATATATATAATATATATATATATATTATATATATAAATATGTATATGTGTGTGTGTGTGTGTGTGTGGTGTGTATTTTGTAAAGATAATCATTAAGCTACATATTTTAAATGCTAATGTTTCTTTCCTTTAAACTACATGGGAAATAATGCGTTCATTTGGAACTGTGATGTCGTGGAAAGGGATTAACGAAATGTGTTTACTGCTACCTAGCAACAAGGACGTTTGAAATTGCGCGAATATGTTCTTTATCTACTTCTCTTTCACTAGTGGGTAAAGAAAATGTTTTGGTTGTAACTTTTAATTTTATCTATATCAAAGCTTAGGTGTGTTTTATTATGTGATATGATCTATTTGTTGCTAAGAGGATTTTCATTTATTTACGAGTGTGGCAGGCATGTAAACTGTACTCCAAAAATGGTAGAATTGTTCGAATGAATTTGAATTCCTAATTGTGGGAATAAATAACTAATATATAAGGAAATATGAATACAAAATCAAGATCAACAAGTTCTTAGTACTGATCGTATGTATTACGGGAGAATGAAGATATTGATATACTCTATTTTGGTTGGCAAACCTGCATCCTCCGCCAGGGAAGCTCTTTTGTGTGAGATGTCGACAGTCACGTGATGGCTGCCCCTTTCAGGTATTTAATCAGAGTTTAGAGCTCCAAGTTTCCCGTTTGGGCACTGTATCATGACTCAGATTATCACTATGGTTGTTAGAATAGTGTGCATCGTAAAATTTAAATAAGTGTCAGCTCGGGTTACAATTGTTCGTATTGTTTACTTTGGCTGAAGTGGTTTGATGAACAAGGTCATTATTGTTTTCTCAAAAACAAATGAAATACACTGTATATCTCTGCGTGCAAATTAAAGGTAGGGCCTGCCGGTAAATTACTTGCATAATTTTTTGCGGTGTGAAGGCGGTAGATCGTGTTAATATCAGAAGTCTGATACGATTTATGCACATCAATATTATTATTTTATTATTATATTAATATTCAGGTGATTATATGTTTGATGATTGGTTTATTTA